ATTATGATCTTTCTCTCATTGCACAGAAAGTTTTTCTTTCTAATTTCCTAATTTAGTTAGAATTTGGGGTTTAGATGGGATCAAAGTTGGGTGATTTGGTTAAAGCAACAATTCCCAAAACATGCTGTTTTATAATTCAGAGAGTTTTGCCGATAACCTGAGCCCTATTCTAGACCCACTGAAATAGAATCTAAAACTGATGCCTGCTAATATAGTTTAATATTCCCCAGGTGCTTCTAAGGTAGCCAGCCTGGCACTTGTATTATGCAACCACTGAATCAAAGCATTCTGTTTGGGTTTTTTTGTTTGTTTTATTTTGTTTTTTGTTACTTTATTTCATGTAGTACAAAATTCAAATTTTCAGAGTAAAAAAACCTTTCTCATTGATCTCCTCTAGCTGCCTATTTTCCAACTTTAGAAACCATTTTAGCTCAGTTTCTGATGTTTCTGGATGTACTCTGCATACATAGCAGAATATACTCTCGTAACATAGGTACATGTGTTCATACTCTCACCCATCCCCTTTATTTACAAAAAGAGTAGCATAATACACATTTTTTTGCACTTTGTGGGTTTTTTTTCCCATTTAATATGCCTTGGGATTTGCTCTATATTAGTTATAATGCCATATTCTTTTTTTTCTTTTACTATCCATTTTGAAATCCATTTTGAAGTCTTAATAGATAACTTGCCATAATAGCATAGAGACTGCCTGTATTCCCTTTTCCAGAGTCCCAGTTGTCAGCATTTAGCCACATTTATCCAATCATTTTCTCCTCTTTTTATATACATATGTGATATAATATTTTTTTCCTGAACTATTTAAGAACAAGTTGCAGGCTTGATGGCCACTTTATGGTATATAAACTTAAGTGTGTGTTTTCTAAAAGTAAGAATACATTTCCACATAACCACATGATGAAACCATCAAGAAGTTTACATTGCAACAGCGTTATCATCTAATCCACAGACCCTATTCACATTTCATCAGTTGTCCCAGTAATGTCCTCTATAAATCTATGTAGTCCAGGCTTACTCTTGGCATTTATCATCTTACTTAAGGTTCAGTCTGGAACAGTTTCTCAGTCTTCCTTTTTCTTTCATGATACTGATATTTTGACATCTCTCAATATAAGAAACCATAAATTCACATTGATAACCTCCAATTCCATCGTTGCTCCTCAGGGTTTATTTTAGCTTCTCTATTTCCATATTTGTATCTCCTTTAATCATTTGTTCAAATCATCAGTAAAAATCATTCCTCCGATCACACCAAGTAACCCCTGCTTCCCTCATTACCCAGGCCTCCATTAGCCAGGTGAGCATCCTGACCCCCTGAGCCATTGTCCTGATGTCAATGACTGTACCGGCTAAATCGTATCATTAGCAGTAAACATGGCAGTAGATTTTAATTCAAGTGTATTGATTAGTCTAGAGAATTTTCTGACTTGAAGGTAGTATTAAATATAGTGAAAAGAATCAGATCTGGATTTGAATATGATTCAACCCTTTGGCCTCAAGCAAGTTATTTTTTTTTTCTTTCTGAGTTTCAGGTTCTTTTTAAGGTTAAGTGAGAGAAATACCGCCTATCTCACCAGTCTTGTGGAAATGCTGATAACACAGATGATTAACAAATGTAGCATTGGACTTAGCATGTGCCTAGGAGTGGGGTCTTTTGGGAGTGAGAGTTTGGGACCGTCTACATTATCTTCACTTGCTAACGTAAGACCATAGGAGTTTTCTCCTGTAAGTAGAATTACCAGTGGTTTTTGTTTTCTTTGTGACTTTTAAAAAATATTTTCTTAATTTTCTGCAATGAGCATATTTTTAGCATTTTGAAAATTTTAAAAGATTTTAAAGAAGATACGTTATTTTTGTAACTGGTCTAGCAATTTCTAAAAGTTTTGTATTTTGCCACACAAATGGCAAAATACTTGAATTTATATGCATGTAATTATATCCCTGGATATTGTATATTAAAATTTGTGTGTTTGCAAATGATTTATAGCAAAAGATGTCCATGAAATTGCTCATCTTATACCGACAGTTAATTTGCTTTCCAGGTCCACATTTTTATTCTAATATTTGACAAACTATATATATTATTGATCAATTCTAATTATTCCCCTGTTTGTTACAGAACTCCAAAAGTGATGCTTTTGAAATGTAAACGATATAGAAGCTTCAGAATGTTTTGATGTGAGATATTAGAACTCATCTGTGATAAGTCTAAGACTTGGGCGTGTGGAAGGTCTGGGGATAAATTTTTACTCTCATTATACCGTATCACCCCCAGGCTTTATGTGCTTAGTACATATTAGGTCGATGAATAATTGAATTGAAAGAGTGATGAGGATTCTGGCCTCTAGAAGTGTTATTCTGTAGTTAGAATTCACCCCGAACCTAGAGGATGAGGATGAATAATGGAAAAAGTGCATGCTATATGAGACGGCACCATTGTGTATCTAGTTTGATAACATGACTCTTGGTAGATCAAGGATGGTCATCTTTCATAATATTAAACCCCCAAAATTTCTGAGTTCTCTTAATGACTCATTACAGACCCACCATCCATAATTCACTTATGTCTGCCAAACCAGTTTAAGTTAATATCATCTCCAACTACAGAAAGGTTTATCAGGCCCACCCAGGTTGTTTACTTAAAATTTTGAAGGGTTAAGAAATCTAGATGTGAATTTTGGTAAATAGATTGGTTTCATCCCAATCTTAAATTTAAAAAAAAAAATTTTTAATGGTGAAAAGAATCGTCTATACAGGAATATATAAAATCTATGTACAATTTAAAGAATAATGATAAACATCCACATACCGACTACCACCCAGGCTAAGAACTGGAACATTATGGGTACCTTAGAAACGTTCTATATGCCTTTCTCTTTTTGTGCCTGTATTAGGGCTTTCCAGAGAATCAGAATCAATAGGATGTGTATATATGTAGAAAGACACTTATTAGAAGGAATTGGTTTGCATGATTATGAAGGCTGACAAATTAAAAATCTGGGTGGGTCGTCAGTGTGGACACCTAGGAGAGCCAGTGCTCTGGCTGACGTCCAAAGGAGCTCTCCTGTAGAACCGGGAAGAGCTGATGTTGCAGATGAATCAGGAGGCAGTCTGCTGGAGAATTCTGTCTTGCTAGGGTGAGGCCAGTCTTTTTGTTTTCTTCAGGCCTTCAGCTGATTGGTTAAGGCCCATGCACATTATGGTTATCAACTTGTTTTTCTGAGTCCACTGAGTTAAATGCTAATTTCATCCAAAACACCTTTAAAGAAATACCCAGAATAATGTTCCACCAAATATTGCAGCCTAGCCAAGCTGACACAAAATTAACCACCACACTGCCACTTCTACTCCCCAGAGGTAATTATTTTTCTCACTTAATTGTTTTTTTAATTGTAAAATACACATAGCATAAAACTTATCATCTTGACCATTCTAATGTGTACAGTTCAGTAGTGTTAATTTCAGTTCACATTGTTAGGCAACAGATTTCCAAAACTCTACATCTTTCAAAATGGAAACTACCCATTAAACAAATCCTTGTTCCCTCCTCTCCCTAGCCCTTGGCAGCCACCATTTCACTTTTTCTCTCTAGGAATTTGGTTATTCTAAGCACCTAATATAAATGGAACCATACAATATTAGTCTTTTTGTGACTGGCTTATTTCACTTAGCGTAATGTTCTCAAATTTTGTTCTTGTTATAGCATGTGTCAGAATTTCTTTTTGGAGGCTGAATATATACTACATTTTGTCCACTTATCCGTAGATAGACACTTGGGTTGCTTCCATTATCTTGGCTGTTGCGAATAATGCTGCAATAAATAAACATGGCTATCAAATATCTCTTTGAGACCCTGCTTTTAATTATTCTGGGTACATAACTCTGAAGTGAAATTGCTGGATCATATGGTAATTCTATTTTTCCACTTTTTAAGGAGCCACTGTACTTCATAGTGGCTGCACTAGTTTACATTCCCACCAACAGTGCACAATGGTTCTCGTTTCTTTACATCCTCGCCAACGCTTGTTATTTTGTTTTTTTGTTTTTTTTATCGTCATCCTAATGGACATGATGCAGTATCCTGACTTTTCTATTAGTGGCTGTTTTGATTGTCTTTATAGTTATTTACAATCTATATATGTATCTCCAACTATATGTGTTTGGTTTTGAAAAGTAGATAAAAAGCACACAGGCAGGGAAGAAAAGGGCTGTAATAAGCATTGTCAATGCTGCGTGATGGCTCCCAGACAATAATTAATGGAGTGTCCGACTTCAGCTTTCCTAAAAATTTAAAGAGCTCCTTCTAGGGATTCAGTGGGCAAGGGCATGAATAAATCTTGGAGAAAATCAGGTCTACCACAGGATAGTACTTTCAGCTAGGGACTGGATGGCCAGTAAGAATGTGTTAAAGAGAACTAGGTTGCTCTGTGTTTTCTGTTTCTAAGCTCATTGTGTCCTACCTCTGGCTCTCAGGCATACTCTTTGAGAGTAAGTACGGATCCTCACCTGTTGCAGGCATCATGGCATGAAGGGCAGCGCAGGAACAGAACAATCTGAGCCAGCCTCATCGGGCATTCTCAGGTTTAAATGAAAAAGATGGTGGAATTACAGAAGCAATCCTGGGGAGGACAGCCTTCAACTTATTCTCTAGTCATATTCCTCCAGTATGGACTTGTCACTTTGTAGTTTCTC